TAGGAATATTCATTAAGTTGCTTCTTTTAAAATGTTTTATTGATTCATCTAAGATGATCAATACATAATCCCTGGAAACAACAAATCCTGTTTGATAAATTGGACCAGTGGTTTTATATGGATAATACTTTGGTCTGATTTATCATAAAAATTTAACCTTTCAAGCATTAAATATAGGAAATCCCAATTAAATTCCTATACGGTGGGAAAAATTCCAAAATTTTATTTTGTATTCTAAATATTCATCTAATTCAAGAAAACAGCACTATCGTTTGATAGTGCTTAACTAGAAACAACTCATAGAGAAATTTTTTGCCTTTGGATATCTTGAAATTCTGGGGCATTATAACTGCATTCGAAATGGGCAATGCTTTTTGACTCTGTTTTTGCAAAGTGCTCGATAATGTCAGCTCGCATACCTCACATCACAAAATTATCGTAGATGATGCATATCGCACACCCCTGTTTACATTATGAATTTATACACATTTCTCTTCCCACAATCTTTATGATCTGAAAACAACTTTTCATTGCACTTTCTTTAGGTGTGTCTGGTGTTGATAAAGATGAAGTGTCATTGATGGAAGAAGATTCAATCACTCTACACACTGGTGTTAAAACAAACCAACAAGAAAAAATTAAATGGTATTTTAATGACATTCGAATAGCTCAAATCAGTGTAGACCAGAGTAAGATCTGTACAGATGTTCAGTGTAAAAAAGGTGATGAGAGATTCAGAGGCAGGTTGAAGCTGGACAAACAGACTGGATCTCTGACCATCATAAACATCAGGACCTCAGATGCTGGACTTTATAGACTACAGATCATCAACAGCAGAAGCAGCAACATGAAGAGATTCAGTGTTGCTGTCGCTAGTGAGTATAATTTAGTGTTGATGCTCATTAAATATATACATCTTTGATCTAGTAGGTTGATCCACAAGTAGTCAGAGAAGTCATTAAAGGATGAGTTCACTTCCAGAATTAAAACTCCCTGATTATTTACTCACCCCCATGTCATCCAAGATGTTCATGTCTCCACACTAGCTTTTTAACCACAAATGCTCATCTTGCACTAGCTCTGCGATGTGCATGCATCTTCATGCATTGTGTAATCACGTTGGAAAGGTCACATGCAGTTAGTTCTTCATCTGTATATTACAGTTCAAAAAGGTAGGGCGAAAAACTCCATCTTATTTTCTCCACCAACTTCAAAGTTGCCTGACCTTGTTGGTTTACCTTTTTTTTTGTATGACTTTGTTTGCATGTTCACTTTGTAAACACTGGGTCGGTACTTTCCCCTGCGTCACGTGTGCGTGATTATGTAATGCGTGAGGTTGAGCTAGTGCAAGATGAGCATTTGTGATTAAAAAGTATATATATATATATATATATATGTTTTTAGAAAATCACTAATCGTTTCGCTAGATAAGACCCTTATTCCTCGGCTGGGATCGATTGAAGCTGCATTGAAACTACAATTTGGACCTTCAACCCGATGGCCACTATTAAAGTTCACTATATGGAGAAAAATCCTGGAATGTTTTTCTCAAAAACGTTAAATTTTTTTTTTCAACTGAAGAAGGAAAGACATGAACATCTTGGATGACATTGGGGTGAGTAAATGATAAGGAAATTTTTATTCTGGAAGTGAACTAATCCTTTAAGTACAAGTTAATCTATGAGACTCATGTATGTTTGTATGATGAGTGAATGTGTAAACCAATGTTTTTCTGCTGTTCGTTTGCGGAAAAGATATGTTAGGTTATGAATCCAGACATATTTTTCTACCCACAGTATATATGATCTGTTGGAACAGGACTTTCCTGTTTCTAATTTTGTTTGTTGTATAATGAATTGTTCATTTCTTCTTCAGATTCATCTGGTGTTGGTACAGATGAGGTGTCAGCATATGTGATGGAGGGAGATTCAATCATTCTAAATACTAATGTTAAAACAAACCTACAAGAAAGGATTAAATGGTTTTTTAAAGACATCCGCATAGCTCGAATCAATGGAGATCTCAGTAAGGTCTGTACAGATGACCAGTGTAATAAAGGTGCTGAGAGATTCAGAGACCGACTGAAGCTGGACAATCAGACTGGATCTCTGACCATCATGAACATCAGCACCACAGACTCAGGACTTTATGAACTAGAGATCATCAGTGACAGAATCAGCATCATGAAGCACTTCAGTGTTGTTGTTCAAGGTGAGTCGTTATGTTTAATAGCAAGTCTTGTACATTTATAGCATTGTTCAGCAACATATGTAAGAGCTGGTGTCGGACAATGATGAAGAAGAGGCTCTGGCAGAAGTAGAAACTCGTAGAATGTACCAGAACGTTTCTTAATGGTTAGCTGATAAATTTGTCATTTTTGAAAACTGAAAACATTTAGGCCATTTTCAAAATATCAACAAATAATGTTTTTCAGGCTGAAAGTTGAGATGGGGCGTAAGGAATTCCTTTCATATCCACAGATCTTGATGTTGTGTAGTTTTTTTTTTGTCTCAGAAATTCAAATTTATTTCTAAAGCACTGAATAAATCAACAGCGCTGACCATAGTGCTGTACAAACAGTAACACAATGAGCAGAAGACAACTTTTAAAAAGGGATCACATCCATATAATTAAATGCGTAATATAAAAAGAAAGATCCTTCGATCAGCTGTGGGTTTGTGTTTCAGGAGTTTCTGCTGCTGATCGAGATAAAATGAGAAGAAAGTCAGTGAAGGAGGGAGAATCTGTCACTTTAGAATTTGGTGAAATAAAAAAAACAAATCATTCGATGGCGTGGTATTTTAATGACACTCTCATCGCTGAAATCAGTGAAGATTCAAGTGAAATCTGTACAGATGATGAGTGTAAAGAGAGATTTAGAGACAGACTGAAGCTGGATCATCAGACTGGATCTCTGACCATCACAAACACCAGAACCACAGACTCGGGACTTTATCAACTACGAATCAGCAGAATCAGATTCACCATCATTAGAAGCTTCATTGTTAATGTCACTGGTGAGTATCACTTAGTTACTTAAGTCCATTTTTCTATGAACAGTTTTTAAGTAAAGTTAGAATTTTTAAATAATCCAGTAATTTTAATTTTGGCCTATATTGAAATATAATTTAGATCATCACCTTCATATGCACATCTAATGACATAGTTGTCATAACAAACATGCTGTTCACAATACTAATGTTATTAACATGAACAGTGTGTAATAATCAGTTGTAATGTGTTGGTGTTTCTTGTTGAGCTCTCAGTGTTGTGATGCTGTTTTAGCTGTTGCTCTACAAAAACAACATCAGATGGTGCAAATTACCAGTTAAAACAATATCATACAGCTGATGACCAAAGTAGCAAAGTGTAAATATCAGACAAAGATATTGTTTATTATCAGTCACTCGCTAAATAATAATGGCTGTCTGTTTTCAGCTGTTCTAGCAGGAATATATGCTCCTGTTGCTGTTGTTGTTGTTCTGCTGCTCATTGCTGCTGCTGCTGTTGTGATGTACAGGTGCCATGCTAGAAGGAGAGGTTAGTATTACATACAGCTGATGTAACGAGAGAAATACGATATTTATTGCATGAAAACTATTTTAAAAATTATAATTTTTTTCTATTTAATCAAAGTTCTGTATGTTTAATTGAGTTTATTATTATTCAAACAGACCGTGTGATGCAGGTCAGTGATCAGGTAAGATACTATGAGCACTGAATCTTTTCTCTCTTTTTTTTTTGTGGTTTTACTCAGAAATGAAAACTGAATATAGATGAATAAATAAATAAGTTTTATGTAATTATAAATAATTTGTATTACCATCATTGCATTATTATCATCGTAATTACATTTATTAATATTAGCTGTTATGACACTGGTCTAGGATCAGGATGTAACATAAATATTTCTTACAATAAATGACAAATAATATGAAATCAAAAAGTGCAACTTCATCAAGAGAGCAAGTAAGGGTACAAATACTGACTTATTAATACTTGCCAATATGATATTTCAAGCATTTTAGATGTGCAGGCTGTTTAGGAAGATGAATGTCGCTGCAAGATAAGAAATGTATTTAAAATCACATGATACGGTTGAATTATTTTATTTATTTTTAAGCTTTTTAAGGGGCGGCTCCTTTAGACTTCTCTCTCCTTGCTTAACCGTTCTGTTGGTGGTTTCGTTTTCACTGTTGGTCTGATAATTATGGAGGCGGTCCAATGCAACATTTTGATGCCAAAAGTTGCAGCTGTGGAAACAGAGCTGTTTGAACAGCTTGGTTTCAACAAAAGCTATTTCTGCTGTAATGAGGAATTGTTGCATTCTGCAAAATTACAGTATGTTTTATAGTAGATGTCAAGAGATCAAACGAAAATTTGATTCTTCATATCATTACCGTTTTAAGAGAAGCTTCCCGTATTTTAGACATGTTAACTGTTAATCTTAAATATATGGATATCAGCATATGAAATATTTAGTCTTGTTCTCTTTGTGTAACTGAACCATCAATCCTGTTGATTTATTCTGTGATTCTGTGTTTTAGAATCGTGCTGGAGACCTTTCCCCTAATCAGACTGAAGCTCTGCTGATGAATGAGACGTCCTCTAATCAGTCTGAGACTCATGCTGCCAATGAGACGTCACAGTAACATTATTTTGATTGTTTCATTGAAAGAAGATTGGAAATGAGAGAAGAGCATCAGCTGAAACTCACAACACAATACCATGATTTCAGTATTACTGAGATTTCACCTAATACAAACTAGTTTACAATATCATTGATAATTCAGTTAAGTGATTTAAATAACACATTAAAGAATTGAATCTATATTTAAATAATGTAGGTGTTGCTTCAGGAATACAAATAATTAGCAAAAAAGTAATTAAAAAAAACATGTTAGCAGCAATTGTAACGGGGCTGACGAGAAGTGAGACGTTCGGATCCAAATGCAAAGCTTTAATAGGAGAAGACACAGACGTGGTCATAAAGCAGGCAGGGTCAAACAGGTATATGGAGGGAAAAAAACAAGAATAATAATAGGGCTA